AGATGAGGCTACCTAGGTAATTAAACTGTTGGACTGATTTGAGCTCTGATTGGCCAATGGTGATACGGGGATGATGGAAGACTTCCTGAGATGCAGGTTGATAGAGAACTTCTGTCTTCTTCCAGCCCAAAAAGCTCAGCAGTGTCTGCAAAGCAGGATGTTAAACGCTGCAGAGCTGCTTCTGTGTGGGCGATGAGGGCATCGTCATCAGCATAAAGCAGCTCCTGGACAAGATGATTTAAGGTCTTGGTGTGGGCCTTCAGTCGCCTTAGGTTGAATAGGCTTCCATCAGTACAATATCGAATGTAGATACCATCCTGATCCTCGAGGTCTGCCATGGCTCTTTGGAGCACCATGCTGAAAAAGATTGTGAATACAGTTGGTGTGAGAACACAGCCTTGTTTCACACCATTGGTTATTAGAAAGGGCTCAGAAAGTGCATCACCATATCTGACTTGGCCATGCTGATCCTCATGAAATAAGATGATCATTTTGAGGAACTTGGGGGGACAACCTAAATGTTCCAAAATCTGCCACAGAGCTTTTCTGTTCACGGTATCGAAAGCCTTTGTAAGATCAACAAAGGTTACATAGAGACCTTTGTTCTGTTCCCTACACTTCTCTTGCAGTTGTCTGAGAACAAATACCATGTCTGTGGTCCTCCTGTTGGCTCTGAAACCACATTGGCTTTCAGGAAGAATTCCTTCTGCTATAGTGGGTATTAGTCTGTTCAAAAGTATTCTTGCCAGGATCTTGCCAGTAATGGAGAGCAGTGTAATACCCTGGTAGTTTGAGCAGTCTGATTTATCTCCCTTCTTCTTATACAAGGTGATGATGACTGCATCACAAAGGTCTGATGGTAGTTTGCCTAGTTCCCAACAGTGCACCAAAAACTCGTGAAATTTAGCATGGAGTGCTTGGCCCCTGTGCTTCCAGGTGGAATTCCGTCAACCCCAGCTGCCTTGCCAGTTTTCACCTGCTGTATGGCCTTAAGAGTTTCTTCCATAGTAGGGGCAGTATCCAATTCATTCTTCAGCGGTTGTTGTGTAATGTACCGAATTGCTGAGTCTTGGACTACATGGTTGGTACTGAAAAGAGTCTGAAAGTGTTCAGATCATTGATTCAGATTGGATGTTTTATCTGTGAGAAGGAGGCTTTATCTGTGAGAATATGCTAAATATACTGAAGTTTCAAAACACACAATATGCACAAAAACAATTCACAATGATTTTCATCTCTCTTTTTCAAGTTTTACTCTCTCTTCTCTGTAAGAAGAAGCGTCATGCCCTTTACTTACAGATTTTTGTCTTTATTTAAGGGGATTGAAACTATTTTTATCCTAAGGAGATATGGACAAGAGGGTGCACCTTAGGATAGCTCATGTTGTAGGGAACTTAAGCAACTCTCAAGTCCAACGTCTTGCTCAAACAGGATCACTTATGAGATGAGAACAAGTTGTTCAGATTTTTATCCAGTCAGTACCTGAGAACCTTCAAGACAGAGACCTCATAACCTCTCTCTACAGTCTCCTCTGCTGTCTGACTGTCCTCCTGTTGAAATGGTCTCTTGTCCTCCTGCCATGTCCCACAGCAAAGAGCTTTACTTGTTACCTTTTTTATAACTTTCTTGTAGCTAGGGAAAATCTGTGGTGAGGTGGCCTGAAAGCTGTCTCTTCTCCATACTCAACAAACTCCATTTCCTCAGCTTCTTCTCCCACAGCAAGTGCTCCACTCCTTGACCAGCCTAGAGGTTCTCTGATCAGTATTTTGCTCATATAGCAGGCCCAAAACTGGCTGCAGTATCCCAACATGGTTTAACAAGTGTGGAGTGAAGGGAGGTAATCCCCACCCTTGACTGACTGGTTGTGCTCCCTGTAACACAGCCTGTAAAACTGTAGACACTAGTAATGCAAAGCTGTATTATATACATACAAAATAGGGTATTAAATGGTATAAAATAGTCTTCAGCAATATTGGACAGAAGGTGAAGGCTACTCATGTCGGACTCTCGAGTCTCCCTTCACTTGTAGAAAGGGAAAACTTTCTTGTCAGGGTTCTAAGATAGAAGACATTTACTCTTTTTACTTACTTTGATCTCTTTGTGGATAAAAGTTACATTTTTAGAAAACATAAACCTTAATTCTTTACAGTCTTTCCAAAGTTTACTCTTTTTAGAGGACTGAGAAGCACACACACCATCACAAATGGGACAGGGAAGATCTATGCGGTCTCATTACCTCAAAGGCTTCAATTATTACAGATCTCTGCTCTTCTAGGATAAAGAATATTTCTGAACATCTAAGACTCTCTTGACCAAATCAAGTCTATAAAAGCAAAACCATCCAACAATAGGCAATCACAAAATAACCAGGTTTTATGTGCTCTTCTGCCATATACTTTGAAACACTGACAGAGCTGCAAATTATTTTAGGTCTCTGATTCTATAGAGCCAATGTATATTATACTATGCTTTGATGAACTTACTTCATACTTTATCCTTCATACATAATAACAAAGAAAAGTGAAAGCATATATGCCACATTCATTCCCAGCTTCAAAATAGCAATCCAAATGCTCTGACACTATTTTTCTACTTTAACCTTATTGGTTTGAAAATCATTTAACAGTTGTGTTTAATTACCATTAACATCCCGCCTTGAACACACTACATCTTGCATTACACTGAAAAGCAGAACCTCTTACAGACAGATGTACTCCATGTTGCTACTTTGTATGTCAATAAAACTGACAGAATAAAGATAGAGAATGTGTAATACATTTGTCTTACAGGACCTCTACAGAGAAGACACAACACCTATTACTGAATCTTATTCAAACAACACAAAAACATTTAATAGCTAGTGTCATGTGCAGCACGAAAAATAAATGTAGACTACGTACACTGTGGGCAGCAAGCTCCAGTGCAAATTCTCTTGATGAGCACACAGCTGACCTGATACAGCACAGTCATACAGAGAAAATAGCTCCAGCCAGCAAGTAGCATAGCTGCACAACCACAGCCTGTAACCAAGATGAGGAATGCTCTCAAGAGATCCCAGATTCCATTGCAGAGCTCATTGCATCATGTACCATTCCCCTTGAAGAAATTACATTTGGAAATGAAGACACTTGGTCCTAACTCAAAACAATCGTTGACATGTACTGATGTTCAGACATAATATTTTCTTTGTCTGCCTCTTTTTCTTTTCTATTGTCTCTTTGGATTAAAAGCTCTTTGTGTCTACCCAGAGAGATTACTTATTCCTTATGGTTACAATGAGTATGTATATAATACATTAAGTAGAGGTAACTCTTTCTGTTACTGAAGCAACATTATTTTTGTGTCAATGACTGTAATTTTCTGCTATCAAAAGTTTATCAGCTTTGTACATATGAAAAAAACGTCACTGCTAGAAAGAAAAAAAAAAACTACATACCCTTATATTTCTAGAAAAATAAGAAATATTTTCAGGCAATTTCGTCCATCCTACATGTGCATCCCAGCTTGATTTGGAAACCAGTCTCCTATGAAGAAGCACTGTAGAATAGAGAGGGGACTCAGTTGTTCCTCAATTAATTCAAAGGGTTTTTTGGTTATTTTTTTTGTTTGTTTGGGGAGTGTTGTTTTTTGGTTTGGTTTGGGATGCTGTTTGTTAGTTTGCTTTTGTTTTGGATTTGGGGGGGAGTGTGTGTTTTTTTGAAGGAAAAAAATTGTTCACTGAAACCCTTTTGTGGATGTAGTCTACCTGGACTTCAGCAAAGCCTTTGACACTGTCTCCCACAGCATATTCCTAGAAAAACTGGTAGCCCACGGCTTGGACAGGGGCACTTTGTGCTGGGTCAGGAACTGGCTGGAGGGCCGGGCCCAGAGAGTGGTGGTGAACGGGACTGTATCCAGTTGGTGGCCGGTCACTAGTGGTGTCCCCCAGGGATCAGTGTTGGGTCCAGTTCTGTTTAATATCTTTACTGATGATTTAGATGAGGGAATTGAGTCCATCATCAGCAAATTTGCAGATGACACTAAGCTGGAGGGGAGTGTCGATCAGCTGGAAGCAGGAGGGCTCTGCAGAGGGACCTGGATAGGTTGGAGAGTTGGGTTGATTCCAACGGGATGAGGTTCAACAAGGCCAAGTGCCGGGTCCTGCACTTTGGCCACAACAACCCCATGCAGTGCTACAGGCTGGGCACAGAGTGGCTGGAGAGCAGCCAGACAGAAAGGGACCTGGGAGTTTGGACTGACAAGAAGCTGAACATGAGCCAGCAGTGTGCCCAGGTGGCCAAGAAGGCCAGTGGCATCCTGACCTGGATCAGGAACAGTGTGGCCAGCAGGTCCAAGGAAGTGATTCTTCCCCTGTACTCAGTGCTGGTGAGGTCACACTTGGAGTACTGTGTCCAGTTCTGGGCCCCTCAGTTCAGGAAGGATATTGAGGTGCTGGAGCAGCTCCAGAGGAGGGCAACTAGGCTGCTGAAGGGACTCAAGCACAAGTCCTATGAGGAGAGGCTGAGGGAGCTGGGACTGTTCAGCCTGGAGAAGAGGAGGCTCAGGGGAGACCTCCTCACTCTCTACAACTCCCTGAAAGGAGGTTGTAGCCAGGTGGGGGTTGGTCTCTTTTCCCAGGTAACTATCAGCAAGACAAGAGGGCATGGTCTCAGGTTGTGCCAGGGGAGGTTTGGGTTAGAGATTAGAAAAAATTTCTTTACAGAGAGGGTAGTCAGATATCAGAATGGGCTGCACAGGGAGGTAGTGGATTCTCCATCCCTGGAGGTTTTTAAGAAGAGACTGGATGTGACACTTAGTGCCATGGTCTAGTAACCACAGCGGTAGTGGATCAAGGATTGGACTTGATGATCTCAGAGGTCCCTTCCAACCCAGCTGGTTCTATGATTCTATGATTCTATGATTCTATGATTCTATGATTCTATGATTCTATGATTCTATGATTCTATGATATGTACAGCCCACAAGGCATGCAGCACACACACCTAGATCTGGAAATGCCTTTTCCACTCTGTGCAGCTATCTGCTTTAAACTTTATAGGGAAAATTCGTCCATTGATTAAAGTAACATAAAATCATGAAATGGATGATGGTGGAAGGGTTTTAAGGAAATCGTCCATTTCAACTGCTGTCCTTAAAGCTGAGTCACTTAAAGCAGGTGTGTATCTTTCAGGGTTTAGTATCTCTGAGGATGATTACTCCTAAATCTTTCCAGGCAAGCTGACCAAGCTTTTGCACCCTTTCACTATACAAAAGTCTTTTCTTATGTTTAAATTGAATTTCTTGTGTTTCAGCGTGTGTACAGTCAAGAGTCAGAGGTTCAATTTCTAATTGTTCCAGAGTCTCTCTGTAAATCACTTTCTGAGACAGGAATAGTAGTATCTACTTGCTCAGACTTGTGTCACAGGATATATCTATTAGATTTTAAAGTACTCAAGAAGCCCTGAAAATGTAGTTTGAATGAAGCATTTTAATTAGACAAAAAAGAAAGATAGTTATGACATCCTTTGCTTCAAGGAAATGGCATTTCAAGGATGATCAGAACAGAGGTTCATAACACTTTTATTAAAAAAAAAAAAAAGAAAGCCCAATCCCTTGCTCTCCAGTAGATATTTAACTTGCTCATTCAGAGTTCCAATGCAAGCAACATTGTCAGAAATGGGAAAAAAATGAGCAGGTTATTTGCTGCTTGATTCATTAGAAAAAATTCTTTAGAAGGCACAGATTCAAGTTATGTAGATGGTTGAAATAACATGTAAGTTTACTGCGGTATCTAACATCTTATTATTAGTGATTATTAGTGTCTAAATTCTGTTTCTAAAATTCACATTCTAAGAATTTACAAGTTTTAGATTCTCATGCATAGAGCAATGTGCTTATATATGTATTCTATGTACATATATATTAAAGGTACATTAACTGTATTTCTAGGAAAAGATAACCTACTCTTCTGTGTTCCACTCTACCACCTCCAGTGTTCTGTCCTTACTTTGTAGTATCTGTGTAACGTCATTGAGGCTATGCTGAAAGTCACCACTCCCTGGTAAATCCCTGGACTGCGGCCTGAGTCATGGTGGCATTAACTCCCTATAAAAGTACGCAAATCAAGAGATATAACTCTGACAAACTTTTCATTCCTTCCTCAAATTTTATGCCAACATCAATTTAAAAGCATGGTTGTTGGGGCTGCTTTTTCTCGTTTTGGGCTGCTCAGGTCCAAGTGACCTGCAATCTATCTGAGGTGACACATCAAGGTAGAACTGTCAAGAAAAACCAACCAACTTCATGCAGAGCAAAGAAATGGTCAGCGCTACACTCTCACACATTTAATTTCCAATTGGAATGAAAAAAGTTTGGTCAGTTACGATGGCACAGGGCCACAAGTATAGAACAAAGTTGAAACTTATACTTCTGGTCCATATTCAAGTTTTTCACTTCAGCTTTCCAGTAACTTCAACTTTTCAGTCATGCATACTTACAGAGGAACCAGCTTTTGCTTGTGGGAATAGAAGAAACTAATTCAGTGAGGGATACAGGCAATACTAAAAATATGTTTTGTATGTGAAAGACAGCATGATACAAACTACAGAGTACTACTACAATCATAAGAAATTTTCTGGTTTTAACTGAACATTTTTATGCACAAACTAAGATTTTAATTAAATGTCAGTCCTTCATCCAAACTAGATTTATATACCTCAAGTGACAAAACATTTGTGAATAGATTCAAGGTGAAGTGATGACAATTTTATTGATGAAATGGCAAAATTTTGCTATCAGGCAGATAGAAAGTCAGCTTCTCAGAGAAGAAAAGTTAAAAATATGAGGCAAAACCACAAAATGATTAGATATTTTTACAAATGGTGAAAATGTTATTGTTCTTGTTTGTCTAGCTTCAGTTTCAAAAGCAACAAAGCTCACACTGCTGCTGACACAGTTATATAATCTTTGTGAATTGTGTCCTTATCTGTATTTCCTGAATAGCCACCATATTGTTTCTGTCCAAGGGCCTATTGCCTTTCCTTAGGTGGGGAATGTTTTATTCTAAGCACTCTGTTCAAAATCAATGACCAAGTAAAGTATTTCTCAAACCAGGAAAACAAAATTACAGGATTTGACATTTGCCAGATGTTATTGTTGCACATAAGAAGCTAGAAGGACAGACAATAATTTTTAAAGTTACCTTACAGGGCTTTTCTGTAATCTCAGTACAAATCAAATTTACAACATCAATAGATCCTTCCTGTGCTATGTAATTACATTACAGGCATTTAATTGAAACTAAATAGAAATGAAACTTTGCCTAGCATAGACACGTTCTGATGGTAGAAACTCAGCAGGAGGGCATTGGCTTACTAAAGACATTCTTCATGTGTGCAACACTCTTTCTCATTTGAAAGCATTGTAACTACAAAACTACGATTTTTTTCAGTCAAATATGATAATAAATAAGTTGAATTTTACAAATATGACCACTGAATTATAAAGGGGAAAATGAATGTTTATCTTTGGCACGTTATGAGTGAAACACCCCCACATACAAGCAGACAGTTGTTAGCTAGCAATTGGTTTTACTCACATTAATATAAAACACAATAACTGCAGAAATAAACTCTTCACTTTAGTGGTCAACTTGATATATTGCTCAGGGGAAGCAATTTTAAAAATTCTGAACTGACTTGAAAACCCCACTGCACATTTCCCTTTCAGAGGGGACTGTAAATAGTTCCTGAAAGCAGGACTGTGTAGGAGTGTGTTTTTCACAGAGAAAAGTTTCCAGTAACAAATGTACAGTAACTACTTCTGATGAGCAATAGGAGAGAGATTTTGAAAACATGGCTAAGCCAGCAAAACCCTCTTGTGCCCTAAAGTCCAAGTTAGAAGGTATTTTGCTTTTACTCTGATCTTATTCCACTGATTATCTGTATATCTACAAAAGAGTTGGAGTTAAGGAATTACCTAAAGTTATTTCCATATGCCACACTAGCATTTACCCAGAAATGTTGCCAGCCAAAAAGGGAACCTTCTGAAAACAGTCAATCAATTTATATTAGGTAAAAATTCTTCTCAAGGAAAGTGCAGATGCGTGGTCATGAGTTGCATGGAACTGCAGAAAGATTGACTTCCTTTCTCCTGAGAGTTTCCAAAAAGGAGTTAAATACAGGGCTAAATTTCAGAGCAAAATATCACAAAGTTGCTGATGTAGAAACTCTCTCCCGAGGAGGCAACCTATAGACTGCACCATTTACTTGCCAATTAATCCGAGGAGATAACATTGACATTAGTTCCAGAAGGAGATGCTTGCCTGCCTACTTGCCTAGAGGTAAAAGCTAAGTTTGCAGCTACCCTATAGCAGGACAGAGAAAATAAATGAGGGTAGGGGAATTCAAAAAAATAATTTCAAGACTTATTTTTTTTCCCACTGTTGTTTTCTTCAAAGGAGAACCAAATGTCAAACAGCTACCCTGTCTGATACAATGCAAGCAAGCTTCATTATCACTAAAATGACTTAAAAACTTTTAGCTTCTCTTACTGGAAGAGGAACAAAGCCAATGCCTAAAACCGTAGATTTATCCTAACAAAGAATGGTGAGTCATTGAATGCAGACTGGCAGAACAAACTGTAGCTGAACTTCTTGTTCTTGACTCAATAATTTTTTTTATATCTAGCAGCAAAGTTTTGTTATTTATTTATTGAGTTATTTTTCTCTTTAATTAGATATTGCATTAGTAATTTTGTTTACTAATTTTTGTATTGTTATTAAATACAGGGCACCCAGTTAAATGAAGAAAAATAATACACACTGCCATTTTCAAGGCCCTGTGGAGTTATCGAAAATTTCTATTGAACCAATGGTTACCACACAGAGTCATTAAAATGCTTCAGTTTCTCCTGGCCTCCCAGCGCTGCACCACTCTAGGAGCCGAGTCAGTTTTGTGATTTCTATATACAATGGAGAGCAATTTCTCAAGGTAAGAATGGGTGCCTCCTACATCTGTGGATGGTCCCAGGGTCTCATGCATGCTTGGATGAAGTAATGGTGAAAGAAACTGAATATCTCTATTTTTCAGCAGTTGTCAGAGCTGCCAGGGGAGCAAGGGCATGTCTGGGAAACCCACAGAGCTGAGGAACAAGCTGAAAGCATGAAAAACACTGCTGGAGTAGGAACAACCTTATAAGGCAAAAGGTGTTAACTTGATCATGGTATCCCAAAAAAGCATGACACTTCAGCTTAAGAAAAGCTAAAGCCTCAACACCGCTGATAAAGTCTACCCTGATAAAGTCTACCTTAAAATGCTTGAAATAAGGCAAAGTGTCATAGAACCATGATAGGTCTTGTGAATCTGTATGCAAGACCAATGGCACACACAAGCATTTTGAAAGTAAAAAAAAAAGAAATTTGTATCTGGAGACTCACATTCATCTTTTGGAACTGTGTCATCTGTTGAAGCATTTATATTTCTACTGAATGTCTGAAGGAAAAAGTAAAGATTCAGCAGTTTTTATATTTTTCCTTTCTTTCTATATTTTTATGTATATGAAGTTATTGCAATGTAAACCGCCTTTGTTTTTATATCTATTGCTGTGTGTCATCCATTAGCACACAAATTTCACGGCACAAATGTATACATCTATTTTAGATGCATTACTGCATCCTGCCTTCCAAATTACACAATAACTATGTTAAACATTTTAGCTTTATTTTTCCCAAGAATAGTATAATTTGTAAATGTGACAAACAGTAATCATCTTACATTTGAGATAAGTCAAACAGACATTCTCCTTCAGCTGAACTTTCTGATGACAATCTTTGAAATTGACAGATTAAAAGTGATTCATAGCTGTCAGAATTGTATAACTTGCTGAACAAAATATGCATAAAAACTTTACAGTCTGTAGGTTTACATTGCAGATTATCTTCCTTTACCCACTGTCAGTTAAATTAATAGCATCATAATCTATCTTCTCTGTCAGGCGTAAATGACTTTAGCATATCAATAATTAGGTTGCAATAATGTCCCTCCTATATTTAAGGCTGTGTATTGATTTCACACTCGGTACAGAACAGCACCCAATATACAAGCCCTATATTTTGTTATAGGATGGAATTTCCAATAAACAAAACATTTACAGTCTTGGGAAAAAGTAACAGAAATGGAAGATCTTGGCAGCTGCCAAAGTATCTAATAATAAATTCATTTAAGACTGAAACTTTTACCAATAATGATCCTATGTTGCTATTTCAGCTGTGTGAAGTAATGATATGACTGACAAACTTTAAGGAAATATCAGTTTATATTCTGCACCTTAAAATATCTGTATAATGGCACTCAATGAAAAGGAAATGATGCCCAAGAATTAAAAAAAAAAAAAAGTTAAAAAAATTAAATTAGCATCATAATAATTTATAGAATCCAAAAATAAAAAAAATATTTTTAGTTGGAAAGGATCTAATAGGATTATCAAAGTCCAACTCCTGGCCCTGCACAGAACATCCCAAGGATCACATCACGTGCCTGATAGTGTTGTCAAAACACTACTTGAACTCTGTCAGGCTGGTGCTGTGAGCACTGCCCTGGGGAGCCTGTTCCAATGCCCAAACACCCTCTGGGGAAAGAACGTCTTTCTAATATCCAACCTAAGCCTCCCCTGACACAGCTTCAGGCCATTCCCTCAGGTCCTGTCACTGGTCACCATAGAGAAGAAATCAGTACCTGCCCCTCCTCTTCCCCTCATGAGGAAGTTGTAGGTGCAGTGAACTCTCTCCTCAGTCTTCTCTTCTCCAGGCTGAACACACCAAGTGACCTCAGCTGCTCCTCATAAGGCATCCCCTCAAGGCCCTTCACCATTTTCATTGTCCTCCTTTGGACACTCTCTAACAGCTTAATATCTTTCCTACATTGTGGTGCCCAAAACTGCCACGATATCCCAGTGACGCCACCCCAGTGCAGAGCAGAGTGGGACAATCCCCTCCCTTGACCAGCTGGTGATGCTGTACCTGATGCCCTCCAGGACACAGTTGGCCCTCTTGGCTGCCAGGGCACTGCTGACTCATATCCAACTTGCCATCAACCAAGATCTGAGGTCCCTTTCTAAAGTGATGCTCTCCAGCGTCTTGTTCCCCAGTCTGTCCATACATCCAGGGTTGCCCCATCCTAGGTAGAGAATCTGGCACTTTCTGTTGTTGAACTTCATATGGTTGGTGATAGCTCATCTCTCTAATTTGTCAAGGTTTCTCTGCAGGAAGTCAACAGTTCCTCAGAATTTATTATCATAGGCAAATTTGCTTAGTATCTCTTTCAGTCCTGTGTCCAAGTTGTTAATGAAGATATTGAAGAGCTCTGGGCCTAATATGGAGCCCTGTGGAACTCTGTTAGTGACTAGTCACCACCTTCATGTAACCCTTTGCTCCTGACACATAAGCCGATTGCTTACCCACCAAATGATATGTTTATCCAGTTGCGTGCTGGACATTTTGTCCAGAAGTACCCTGGGAGAGACAGCATCAAAAGCTTTACTGAAATCCAAAAAGATTACACCAACTGGATTCTCCCTTGATCAGGTAGGTGGGTTACCTTGTCATAAAAGGAAATGAGGTTTCATGAGCAGCAGTTTCCCCTCATGAGCCAGTGCTGACTGACTGATGAGTGTGTTGTCCTTCAGGTGTTTTTCAATACCTCCCAGAATAATCTTCTCCATGATTTTACCAGGCACTGAAGTGAGACTGACAGGTCTGTAATTTTCAGGGTCATCCTTCTTGGACTTCTTGAAAACTGGGACAATGTTTGCCAGCTTCCAGTCAACTGGGACCTTTCCAGATTCCCAAGACCATATAAAAATCATTGAGAGAGGCTGCACAATGACATCAGCCAGCTCTTTGGGTATTCTCAGATAAACCCCATCAGGTTCCATAAACTTACAGGGATCCAACTGAAGCAGTAGAACCCACACAAGTTCAGAGCTAGCTGTGAGTTGATCATTCTCACAGCCATGGTCCTCCAGAATAGGCCACTGGGACCCCTTTAGTCCATCATCAGTGTTGAAGACAGAGACAAAGAAAGCGTCAAACACCTCTGCCTTGTCTCTGTCCCTGTTTGTGGGGTGACCATTCTTATCCTGTAATAGGCTGATGTTATTTCTGTGCTGCCTTTTGCTATTAATATATATTTTTTAAAGTGCTTTTTATTGTCACCACAGTATAGGCCTGCTCCAGCTCCAGTTGAGCTTTGGTCCCCTGAATTTTCTTCCTACAGTGGTAAGCAGCCTGTCATTCTCTGTCATTCTTCCATATCACCTGACCTACTTCCGCTGGACATACACCTTCTTTTCATCCATCCCTACTCAGCCAAACCATCCTTCTCTCTCGCCTGCTGGATTTCTGACAGTTTGCAATTGCCCTTAGGAGGTGGTGCTTAAAAAGTGACCAGCACTGATGGACCCCAGCACCTTCAAAAGCCTTTTCCCAGGGAACCTTACTAGCTAGTTCCCCAAGAAACCCCAAGTCTGCTCTCTTCATGTCCAGGGTTGAAGTTTTTCTGGCATTTTCCTTCTGTCAACAGAGATTTTAAATTCAATTGCTTCATGGTCGCTGTGGTCCAGACAGCAGTCAATCAGCACTCACAAAACTCTCTTTGTTAACAAGCAACAAATCAAGGAAAGCATCTTTCCTAGTTGGCTCCCTTAGTACAGGTACCATGAAGTTATTATCCATGTGTTTTAGGAATCTGTTGGACCTGTTTGTGCCAGATGTCTGCTGTTCCCACTTAACATGTGTAAGTTGAAATAATTCAGAATGGTCCTTCATTGCCATTATTTTACATATATATATTTATATGGTTTTTTAGATTTTATACATGTATATATGTGTATAAATATGTTGTTATATTGGGACAGAAGAAAATAAATGCAATAGTAGTTTGAGTTGTCATAGTGCCTCACAAACACTTCTGTCCTTGTCTTGCTTTGTTTCTAAATGATTGTGGGTTATCCAAATTAAATTCAAATTTGGGATCCACCCTGAAAGACATAGAAAAGGTATCTAGTTCTAGATGCTTGAATGTTCCTTTCAAATGTATTGAGCACTCATTTTATATCTAGTGAGGTAGAATAAACCAGCAGCAGAACACTAGGACAAAATAAATTTAGAAAAGTGATTTTCCTTCTTATTTTATGAGTTCATTTGAGACAGAAATTTAATATGAATGTCACCATAAAACAAGTTATCTCAACAAAATTCATGGCTAGGCTTTACGAAAGAAGATTTGGGAAAGGCTCTACCCACATTTGTTACAAGCGCACTGGTGGCTAATAAGGCCAATGAGAGATAGACATATCTGATTGCAAAAGGCATAACAGAAAGACCCCTTAGGTGGTATATTCTGTGAGGCACGGTTCTTTCTGCATTGTCTTTTCTCCTCGAGAGTGATCCTGCGTGCGTTCTCAAAGGAAGCAGCAGCGCTGCAGATAGTGTGTCTCCAGACCTCCTGAGTTGAGGCCAGAGTAGACCAATGATGAAGATCAATATGGCCAAGGCTGAGATGTTGTTTCAGGGAGTCCTTGTATCTCCTCTTCGGGGCTCCTCTCATGCGGCAGCCAGTGGCAAGTTCACCATAAAGCAAGATCTTAGGGAGGCAGTGGTCCTTCATCCTGGAGACGTGCCCTGCCCAACGCAGCTGCGTTCTCAGCAACACGGCCTCTATACTTGTGACTGCTGCTTGTTCTACAACACATGTATTGGTCACATAATCTGACCAGTGGATGTTTAGGATTGTACGGAGACAGCGTTGATGGCAGATTTCTAAGAGATGCAGGTGGTGGCAGTAGATGACACATGATTCTGATGCATATAAAAGAGTAGACAGCACAATGGCTTTGTAAACACTGATCTTTGTACTTTTCTTCAAGTGTTTATTTTGCCAAACTCTTTTATGGAGTTTTCCAAAGGCACTATATGCCTTTGCTAATCTATTGTCTATCTCTCTGTCAATCTTACCCACCCGAGGAGATGAGGCTGCCTAGGTAATTAAACTGCTGGACTGATTTGAGCTCTGATTGGCCAATGGTGATGTGGGGATGATGGAAGACTTCCTGAGGTGCAGGTTGACAGAGAACTTCTGACTATGAATGTCACCATAAAACAAGTTATCTCAACAAAATTACTGCTTCAGGAATCACAGCGTCCTTACCGTACCTTAACAAGCTAACAAAAGCTTGTGATTAGAAACTGGAATTGCATTGCATTCCACGCTAAATTTTCATGCACTTCAAGATCAGTTTGTATGTTTGTAGTGGCTTAGTACAACCATATTTCCCTAATCCACCTCCTTATTAGACTGGGCCAAATCTCTGTCATGACACATCATGAATACTGCCGGAAGAGTTTTAACATTCTCACAAGATTGATTATTTATCTAGAGCAGAAAAAAAGCTTGCACACCTGTGTACATACACACTCGCATGCATTGTCAGTGTAGCCACC